AATTGGTATGCATTTCATTTTTTTTCTGTGCTGGATAAAAACAAAAACAACTAGCATAACAATCTATGAATGAATGGTTTAGCAGAAAAGTGTGGTTGATTACAAAAAAAAAAAAAACAACAACAATTAGGATAATAGTTTATAAGCATTTCATTTCTTTGTGTGCAAGATAAAAACAAAAACAACTATGGTAATAAAGTATGAGCTAGTGGTTTATCATTATATTTTCGAGTGTGTTGATAAGAGATTTTACATAATAGAGTCTATAAGTGGAAAAGTGTGATTGATAAAAACAGCTAGAATGATAATTTGTATGCATTAATTTTATTTTTTCATAGTTTTTTGCAGAATAAAACTGAAACAACTAGGATAATAATATGTGAACAGTTTAATATTTTATTTTCCAATGTTCGTATAAGTGGTTTCAAATCATTTAACCTGTAGGGGGAATGTAGTTGGTAAAAACTACTAGGATGATAATTCGCATGCATTTAATTTCCAATGTGGTGGTAAAATGTGGTTGCTAAAAATAGTTAAGGTAAATTATATAACACCCCTGTGTTAATTTAAAGTTTGCATGAAATACCTTCATGTCCAAAACTGATATTTGGTTACAATGTGAATGTCCACCTTATATTGTATTACATTCAAATTAGTTACGACGTTGAGTGGCACTTCGAAAATTGCGAAAACTTAGTACATTAAGAATATATTCTCCAAAATTTTCATTGCTTTCATCCTTGCATCTTAAGCCAATAAAAATTGAGGGGCCTATGTTATACACACACGAGAAAAAAAAAACATTAAAATCCAAAAGCAGCTGACCTTGAATTTTCATAAATTTAGGATATATTGTTTTGGATATCATGGGATAAAATCAGAATTGTGGACATCGTGTTTGGCTCAGACAATTCGGTGTTGTAGCTAGTTTTTCACTTTCATTTCTTCCTTGACAAGGATATGTTATATCTTAAAAATAAAAATAAAAAATAAAAAGGCTATGCTATATCCTTTTGTTTATGACATAGGATGATTATTTCTTGAACATTTTCTACCTTATATTTATGGAAATTGCAAAATATATCTTTTATATTACCCAATTATCACTTATGTTTTCTATTTATTTCGTTGGCAAAATATACCATATACCTGTTGGAAAATCGGTTAATTATATAGTCGATGGAATTTAATTTTAGATTAAATTCATAATTTCCAGAACCGATTATTCGGTGAGTTAAAATGCATGTGGATTGTATGATGGTTATTAATAGTGTGGTTAGGCATATAAATGCAGGTAAACCACAGGCGCGCGTGCTACCTGTCCGGACCAGATAATTACATGCATATATGATAAATAATTATTTGTCATGTAAAATTCAAATAATATATTTATGACCGGAATTAAATTTGATGTTTATGACTGGAATTAAGTTGATGTTTATGACCGGAAGTAAGTATGGTGTTTATTGTCGGACGTTACCGAAATTATGGCCCACGGTTTCGGCTCGGCATTTAAACTCCAAGGGGTGGAGTGCCTATAAAAGGCCCTCTCCGCCACTTCATAATACACCAACCTAGAGAGAACTCTCTTCTATCCCTCTCTTCCTTTCTAAGTTTCCGGCAATATTTCCAGCGAGTTTTCGGTCAATATTTCGGTCCCTTGCACTTATATTAAGCCTCCGACATAACTCAAGTCCCTTCATTTTAGTTCGCTAGAGCTCCGAAATATTGGGGTGCCACTTAATTCGAAGACGAACGTCGTTTTATCTTTGAGAATATTACGCCACGAACCGGAAGCACTACCAGGGCGTATTCGTTTTTACGGAAAGATGTTCTACCTCGACTCGACATGATTATCGATTATTTCGATAAAATTATTGTGCTTATCAAAATTATTTTGATAAAATGATTATCGAATTTATTTCGATAAAATTGTTGTGATTATCAAAATTATTTTGATAAATTGATTATCGAATTTATTTTGATAAATTATTATTGATTATTGAATTAATTCCGATAAATTATTTTGATATCGAATTTTATATTTCGATAATTATTTGATACTGTCACGATATAAAATTTTTCCAACAATACATTTCAAAATTTTGCAGTTTGTACCTCGAACACGCATAATTGGTGTGTGCAAGCCAATCACCCTGTTTTCACCATCTAAGTCTACATGGCATATTATGGGTGAGAGTTTCACATTTTGCAATTTCTATCCACCTTCTGTTTTTTCTTTTATTTTTTTGCACTTTTTAAAATTTCTTACTTTCTTCTTTTTTTATATTTTTTTCTAGCATGTTTAACTATCTACTTCAAATTTATTTAATAAGTTTAAATTTAAGACTTTTACCAATTGATTTATGTTTATAATTTTTTAGTTTATGTTTATGTATACTACTATATTTTTTATCTTATATGTTATTTCGTCCGAGTGTTTATAGATATGATTATGTATATATATATTTTTTATTAATAGTTAAAAAGTTATCTTATTTACCCATTAAAATTAAATTGCATACCTTGTAAAAAAATATATAATTTACTAAATCTGACATGTATATGAAAATGTATAATTTTAATATTTAAAATTTTAAGTTACATTAAAAAAATTTAGTAATTTTAATAAGTTTTGTAATATTTTTATTATATTTATTTTATATATTTTATTTTAATAAATAATAAAAAATTAGGACAATATTGATAAGCGAGCATAAAAATATGAAAATTGCGAAGATCATGCACTCTTGAAAATAAAAACATAAGATTACACACGTTTAGAGTATAAAATTTTATTTAATTATCATATAATAATTTTAAAATACATAAAAATATATTATCATTTTTTATAGCATAGAAAATACTTTATAAATAAAAAATAAAAAATAAATTTAAGAACTTTATTAAAAAATTCATAAAATCATATAACGGTGTTTGTTTATTACAGAATTTATATAATTATGTTTATTTATTTAACTGACAAAATATATTTTAGTTATTTCAAAAATTTGTATTTTTTGTAACCAGAGTCTGCGACGTGGCCTTAAGAAACTGGATATGACCCAAGTGAAATTTCGTAGGATGTGAAGATCATACCCAGCTCGGGTACAAAAAATGTGATTTTTGGGAATATGTATGATATATTTTGCTAGTAAGATAAACATATGATAAAAGTGATAGTGAATATATAGAGGATATTTTTCACAATTTTTCTCATATTTTTTATAATATCGATGTGGTGGGCTTTGATCCCATATTGTGGTGATTTTTAACCCAATTTGTTTTTTTCATGTTCTCTATCAATTGGTTGAATTTGTTCTTGTTGTGGTGTTGGTCTCATGCAATAATTTCCTCTGACACAACAGATGGATAATTCATATGTTCTCTACATAGTTTGTTTATCTCATCAATTGTGCTAAATGAAAATTAGTATAAAATGTAGTATTTTTATAAACACAAATAGTCAATCAAATAATAAACACTAGGAAAAATATACAAGCGATATTTTACCAATATTATTTTTTATTAATTATATTATTATATTTTTATTGGTTTATTATATAATTGAAAATTATTTGAAAATTTACAATTCATTTGATATTTTCCATTTTTGCACGCTTGTTTTCAATTTTTTAATATATATGTCATGATTATATTTGGTAATTATGCTAAATAAAATTTAGTGATATATACATGAAATGTTAAAGGAAGAATCAAAGTTTAATAAAAACGGATATGCTATTTAGCGTTTAAGAAAATTTATCCGATATAAATATCATTTTACGGTTACTTAGCAACGCTGCTTCAGAATAGACTACCCCGTTTTATTATATTCCAAACTTTTGATATTGATTTTTTAATTTCATAGCTTGTAGCTTCAATTAAGCAATAATACTTTTATGCAATCCATCTTGTGTACTTACACCTTCAAGGAGTAAAATATTTACAAATTTTTAAGATTGTTTCAAGCATAGAGTAAGTGTTATGTTGAACAATTTTTCTTTTGCCAGACTTCTAGACTCTTATTTAACTTTATGTTTTTCTTATTTATAACTTTCTTAAAAGTACTTTTTATTTACCAGTGATTTTAAATCTTTTATAATTCATTTAAAATTCTTCCAGGTTAAAAAGTTATTCCGGCTGATATTTATTTTACTTATTGTTGATTTATTCTATATATAATATATATATATATATATGAGTATCGATTTCAACACCATATCTAGCACCAGCTTTTCATATAAAAATTTGTGAAATCCCAACAAAGTAGATACACATGGAACTATATATGTATATATATATATATATATTCTACTACTAATAGCAACAACAAGGACAGCACAACAACAACAACACATGGACCATTAAATTTTAGTTAATATAGTTTGAAGCGAAATGAATGGTAGATTTAGTTTTTTTTAAAAAAATCTAAGAAAAAAAAAAACCCTACCACTATCACACCAGATATCACTTATTACTAAATCCATGAGATATTATGTCAAATATTAGGAAAAGAGTAGTATCCAAAATTTATTAACTATATCTAATAAGATTGGTTATTTACATAACAAATCTTACGTAAATAAAAAGTGGAATTAGGACATCAATTCACTTTTCCTACAAAAAAAAACATAGTAATCAAGAAACAAATTTTGCATAAATAAAAAGTGGAATTAGGACATCAATTCGCTTTTCCTAGAAAGAAAAGTAATTAAGAAACAAATTTCACATAAATAAAAAGTGGAATTAGGACATCAATTCACTTTTCCTAGAAAGAAAAGTAATCAAGAAACAAATTTCACATAAATAAAAAGTGGAATTATTACATCATTACTCTTTTCCTTGAAAAAAAAATAATCAAAAAAGTTTAAACTAGTATAAATATTAGGATATCCATAGATGTAAATATACACACAATTTTGCTAAACTATTTCTTTTGTTTTCTAACTTATTTTCTAAGCTCTTAGAAACCTACCTTCTTGTTCATTTTCGGCACTATGAGCACTCCTCGAGATCAAGCTGAATCTTCATCCCGTCGAAAGCTTGGCCGCCGCAAAATCCCTATGCAAAAGATAGAGAATGAGAGCAACCTTATAGTCACTTTCTCGAAGCGCAAGTCTGGAGTTTTTAAGAAAGCAAGCGAGTTAGGCACTTTGACGGGTGCAGAGGCTGGCATCGTAGTGTTTTCGCCTGGTGGCAAAGCTCATTCCTTCGGAAATCCAAGTATCAATTCTATTTCCAACAAGTTCCTTGCCCCAGAGAATATAAGCGGAGGTGATCAGTGGAGAGAGGGTCAAGACATGGCTTGGATCCGACAATATGAGCTCAACCATTTGGCTCGACTGGAAGTAGAGATAGCTGCAGAGAAAGCACGGGGTGAGCAACAAGCGAAGATGAGGGAGAATATGATACCATTAGGTATGGAGGGGCTCAGTTACGAGCAACTCAATTGGTTGAGAGGAGCTGTGACCACCTTTGGGAGTGGTGTGAAATCCTGGGTGAAGAATATGACTAGTGGAATGCCCGTTGGCACTCGGCCAGTACCCAATGTTGGCATGTATCATCCATCTGGAGTGGGGTCAACCTCCATGACGCCATATGATCAAAGCTCGAGCCCAAGTGGAAGTGGTAGAAACAATAACGGCAATGGCGGGAACTATGAAGGTGGTTGGTAATTATATTGTGTAAGACTAATGTTCGAATACTGTGATGCAAGATTGTTAGAAGTAATAATAAATTAAATGTTATTTTACTTTAATTGTATCGAATACTATATTTCTCATATTGTTTAATTATAATAAAAGTCTTTGTGTTTATTTGTATATTTTATTTTTTTATTGCAATTTATAATATATTATATTTAGTAAGTATGTAAATAGGTTTGTTCATCCAACTTATTTTTGGGTGGGCACGATTTTCCATAAATATCTTAAACAAATACAATATATTATATTAACACAATATATAATAAATTTATTATATTCAACACAAATTCAAGTAAAATATTATTATGATACGATTTCCAATATCTAACATAAAAAATATATTCATCCAAAATAACAAAGTGAACACACAATATATTTTTTATAAGAAAAAATTGCAGATAACTTCCTTATAGTTTTGAAACTCAGCGTAAATCCCACCTGTAATTTAAAAATTGCATACAAGGCCGGCCTTGGCCCGGGTGAGAGGGCGTCCACCCAGGGCCCAATTTAAATAGGAGTCCATTATTATTTATGTCATATATAATATATATATATATAGATATATACAAATTATTTAGTTTTAATTTTTTAATAAATAGATTTAGCTTGATGTTAAGTGCTACATATACTACTTTTGAGTTTTGGGTTCAAACCCATGTAGCTTCGAAATTTAAAAATGTTTATATACTATTATTGATATTTTATCTAAAAATACCAAACAAAGTTATTTTATTTAATTATTTATATTTTTCTATAGGTAAAAAATAATGAAATATATCATTTATATATAATTAGGGGTCTTTTATTTTTTTTAATATTTTTTTTTTGTATTGAAAAAAAAAAAGTATTAGACAAAATTATTATTATTATTAGAAAAAATTGTCATAAATCCCTTTGTGATTTCAAAACTCAACGAAAATCCTATATATACTTAAAAAATTGTATTAGGTCCCTTTATATTTTTAAAAAACGTTGCATAAAAATCCCTTTTTATATTTTTTTTGGTGATGAAAAGATTTTTCATTTATATTTTTTACATGGTGGAGTTTCATATAACGTTTGTTAAAGTATAAAGGGTGTCACACAATTTTTCAAGTATATGAAAAATTTATGATAAATTTTGAAACTACATGTGAATTATGGACAATTTTGCTTTATTAATATTATTGATATTTTTTTATTATATATAATTTATTATAGATAAAAAAATATTATATATATATATATATTTAAGGGCCCCTGACTTTATTTTGCCCCGGGCCCTTCGAAAGTCAGGATCGGTCCTGATTGCATAGTGTCCCCTTACACTTACAAAAACGTTGTATAAAACCCTTTTATATATTTTTCGTGTGATTAGAAAACGATTTCCTATTTATATTTTTTTTCATGACGGGGGATTTAATGCAACATTTTTAAAAGTATAAAAGGGCGCCATACAATTTTTAAAATTTAGAAAAAATTTACACTGAATTTCGAAACCACGGAGAAATTATGGAGCTTTTGATCATATATATTGTATTTAAGCCACCCAAAAAAAAAATATTGGTTGAACAAAACCATAAATTATAAAACTAAAATATAAATATATGAAATAAATTATTTTATAAAAAATAAAGAAGAAGTTTTGGAAAAAAGAAAAAAGAAGTTAAAGTAGCAAAAATATTAGGCTACATACTGACACAAAATTCATATGACCAATTCGGTTCTCATTGTTTGGTCCGTTTTGGCCATGGAACCCGTCCTGGTTCTACAAGAGTTTCTAAAGTTGTGCCTGAACAGTTCTTCTTTGTAGCGGCCTCACTTCTCTATCACATAGGTGATCTTTCTAAGTTTCTGAATAATACGACATTTACTTAGTGATCATTAAAGCAATTCTTTGCTATCCTCCTTGTTCAGTCACCGTTCGTTGACATGAATGGGTCAAGGCTAAAAGCCCCTATAGTGACACAAATAAGTCTTATAGGTAGGTTGTCCAATTGAACTTAGTTCTTGGGATCTCCAATCTTTTTATGTTGGATTTTCCTTTATAAAACTTATATCTCAACAGGCTTAACCCCGGGAATATTCCAAAAAATATCCCACACGATACCCCATTATCACTTTTGTCCTGTATTTATCTCGCTGGCAAAATATATCCCACATGTTTGCAAAAGTCGCTATTTCTATCATTTGGCCGCGCGTGATTGTGCGTAAGGGCGCGTTGTGTGAATTTCACGCGCGGGCAAAGGACATAAATAGTGACTTTTGTAAACATGTGGGATATATTTTGCTAGGGAGATAAATACAGGACAAAAGTGATAATAGGGTATAAGTGTGGGATATTTTTTGCAATATTCTCGGCTTAACCCCCATTCCTCTTGTCAGTTTATAAACTACATCAAGGTTTAACCCTTTGGTTAGTGGATCCGCTAGGTTATATTTTGATGCAACATGGTCTATTGAAATGACCTTAGTTGTGATTAGTTGTCTTATGGAATTATATCGACGGCGAATGTGTTGACTCTTTCCATTGTACATTGTACTATCTGCTCTGCCAATAGCTGATTTACTATCCCAGTAAAGGGTTATGTCAGAGAGAGGTTTGTCCCACTCTGGAATGTCCTTAAGAAAGTGGTGAATCCATTCCGCCTCTTCTCCAACTTTATCCAATGCAATGAACTCAGATTCCATTGTGGATTTGGCAATAACTGTTTTTTTTTTTTTTTTTGAGAATTTCCAAGAGATTGTTGCACCAGCTAGTGTAAACACATATCCACTAGCTGATCTCGAATTGAGAGTATCAAATATCCAGTTTCTATCTGAGTAGCCTTCTACTACAGCTGAACGTCTGTTGTAATGCAACCCGTAATCTCGAGTATATCGTAAGTACCTAAGTACATGAACTATGGCTTTACAATGCTCGCAACTAGGATTACTTGTATACGTACTCAACTTGCTTTTAGCATAAGCTATATCGGGTCTAGTGCAGCTCATCAGGAACATTAAGCTTCCAATTATCCGTGCGTATTCAATTTGGGATACACCCTCTCCACGATTCTTGGATAAATGGATACTTGGGTCCAGCGGAATTCTCACTAGTCCTGTAACATCCTTACTGAATTTTTCAAGGATTTTGTCTACATAATGAGTTTGACTAAAAATTAGACCATTTTCGGTTCTGTTGATCTTAATTCCTAAGATCACATAAGCGAGACTTGTGTCTTTCATGTCAAATCTAGAATTTAGCATGTCTTTGGTAGACTTAACGATGTATTCGTTGCTACCAACAATAAGTATATCACCTACATAAAAGCATATTATCACATAACCTGACTCAGTGGTCTTTACGTATATACATTTGTCACATTCATTGATTCTGAAACAACTATCCATCATTGTATGATCAAAATTCTCATGTCATTTCTTTGGAGCTTGTTTAAGTCCATACAATGATTTCACAAGTCTACAGACATTCTTTTCCTTTCCTGAAACTGAAAGACCTTCCGGTTGTTTCATGTAAATCTCTTCATCAAGATCTCTATTTAAGAAGGCCATTTTTACATCCATTTAATGCACCTTAAGATTCCCAATGGATGTTATTCTCCTGATAGGAGAATATGTGTCAAAGTAATCTAGGCCTTCTCGTTGTAGTCTTTGATTAGAAGTCTAGCCTTGTATTTGTCTATTGTACCATCTGCTTTTAATTTTCTCTTGAATATCCACTTTGATCCAAAGGATTTTGATTCAGAAGGGAGATCCATAAGTTCCAAAGTGTGATTCTGAAGAATAGAATCAATTTCACTTTTTACAGATTCTTTCCAGAGATAGGCGCTTCAGTAGACCTCATAGCCTCAACATATGTTTTAGGCTCGTTTTCAAGGAGATAAGTAAAATATTTATTTCCAAACGACTTTTCAATTCGTGTTTGTTTGTTTCTTTTGAGCTCAGGTTCCTGACCTGGTTCAGATTCATATTCAAATATTTCCATTCGATCTTGGTCTTGGTCCACAGTTTTCTGTTCTTGGTTGACCAAACTAGGTTTAGTGCATGTCTTTGCAGGGAACATATTTTCAAAGAATAATAAATTCTTTGATTCTATTATCGTATTCTTTGGGATATCTAAAATTTTTGAATCGAATACCAATAATCGATAGGCAGTACTGTTATGTGCATATCCTATGAAAATGCAATCCACTATCTTGTGATCGATTCTCACACGTTTGGGAGGTGGCACCACTACCTTAGTTAGACATCCCCACACTTGAAGGTGTTTGCAAGATGGTTTTCGACCTTTCCAAACCTCATAAGGGGTCTTCTCCATCCTTTTCCGAGGTATTAAGTTAAGCAGATAATTACTGCTTAAAATTGCCTCTACCACATGTTTTGGGGTAGTCACAACTTAACAACATCGCATTCATCATTTATTTTAATGTGCGATTTTTGCATTCAGCAACGCCGTTTGATTGAGGTGTGTAAGGTGGACTTACTTTGTGAATTATTTCATTTTGTGCACAAAAATCACCGATCGGAGTTTCATATTCTCCACCTTTGTCACTTCGAATTTGTTTATTTCATTTGTTAAGTTGGTTTTCCACTTCATTTTTGTACAAAACGAATTTACTTAATGCCTCGTCTTTGCTCTTAAGCAAGTAAACATAACAGTATTTAGTACAATCGTCAATAAATGTGATAAAGTATTTATTACCACCACGCGTTTGTACAATTTTCAGATCGCATACATCAATGTGAATCAATTTGAGTGGTCTAGTTTCACGATGAATAGTTTGGAAAGATGATCGAGTTTGTTTTGCTTCAACACAAATTTCACATTTATGTTTATTTAATTCGAATTTTGGAATGTGGTTCAGGTTAATTAATAGACGAATTGAATCATAATTAGCATGACCCAATTGACTATGCCATAAAGTAGAGGACTCAACAATATAAACAATAGACTTATTATTATTATTTTCAATAACTGTCATAATACAGCATTTCAAAAGTTCATCATCTACATATTCTTTAGCCACATACACTCCTGATTTACGCAAAACAAAATTATCACCATTCATATTAATATCAAAGCCGTGTTTCATCAGGAGTGTCCCCGAGACCAGGTTCTTCGTCATCGCTGGTACGTAAAGGATACTAGTCAGTGTCACAACTCTTCCAAACATCATCTTCAGAAGCACCTTTTCTCTTCCCTTGACTTCCACACAAGCAGCATTCCCCATGTACATTGTTTCTCATTCGACACGCTCGAATAAGGAGAACTGATTCTTGTCCATGCATATATGGCGAGTTGCTCTCGTATCGAACCACCATTGTTTCTTTTTTGATCCCACTAGATTTTCCTCAGAGACAACACATGGCAGGTCAAGTGGCTCTTCATCTTTAGTAATGACGTGTGCCTGATTCGTCTCTTTCTTTTTCTTTTGGTGTCTTGCAGTCTATCGAACGGTGTCTAACCTTTCCGCAATTAAAATAGATGCCTTTAAAGGTACTCTTTGCCTTTTCAACGCCGTCAGATGGTTTAGGGTTTCAGCTTCTCTTTTCCCTTGTCCGTTAGCTTTCAGTTATTTCCTGGCTGCTTATTGTTCCTCGAGGTTGTCTTGAAACGAGAGCCTTGGCCTTTTTGTTCGACTACATTGGCCTTGTTGCCGAGTATCAGATGTCCCATTCTTGCCAGGTTCGATCAATACTCCTCTTCAGTTTGGAGACGATTAATCAGTCTCGCCATATCCATTTTCTTTCTTTTGTGTTTCAAGTAAATTTTGAAATCACCCCAGCTATCTGGTAATTTTCAATTATCATCGCCACTTGGAAAGCTTCACTAAGCTTCATCCCCTCAACCTGGATCTCATGGAAAATCAACTGAAACGCATCAAGTTGTTTCGTAACTCTTTTTCCATCGACCATTTTGAAATCCAGAAACTGACCGATGATAACTTTCTTGGCACCAACATCCTCGGTTATGTACTTTTTCTCCAACGTCTCCCACAGCTACTTAGCCGTTAACGCACGCTGGTAGACACCGTAAAGGAAGTCGCTCAGGCCATTCAGTACATAATTTTTTGCACATAAAGTCTGAACAATTCCAGATTTTTAGAATTCATGCTTTCTGTTCTTCCGAGGATCCTTCAGGCACAACAGGTGCATCCTTCATCAGCCTATCAACCAGATTCAGTGTGGTCAGATAAAACATCTTCTGCTTCCATGTTTTAAAATTCTGCCCGTTGAATTTTTCTGGCTTATCAGCTGCCGCAGCAACAGGCTGCCTAAAATTTGCAGCAACAAGCTGCATTGCGTGGTCAGTAAAAGTAACAGGCTCTATACCCTCCAAATCGTCTATTTGTTGTCGGTATACGCAATGAGACCCTGCGCAAGTCCTACAGCCATATGCTGCGGACGAGGCATAACAGCAGTAGGTTCTTTCAGTCAGGCATCAACAGGATGCCGTTTCTGCAGTCCAGCAACAGGCTGGTTGGAGGTCGCAGCAGCAGGCTACGCCCCCTCCATCGTGGCCTTGAAGACTTGTTCATATGCTGCCTTCGCATCCTTTCCGCAGCAACCCACCTGGCCTCCTCGCGCGCTTCACGCCTGGCAGCAGCAATTTCAGTGGCTTCACCAGTTGTGGGGGGTGGTTGAGATAACGAAACAATAGAAGCGGGAGTGTGAGACTCACTGGAATTCACCTCCTCATTCTCGTCTCCGTCAGCACCATTCTGAATGTCATCATTCAGATCGTTAAGATTTCTGTCAGGATCGTTCATCGCATAGATCATCGCTTCATCTTTAGGTACGATCTGGGCGGCAGCGATTTGATTGTGAATATGGGAAATTTCGTCAGCCATCTCAGATTCCACCAATGGAAATTCGCTTCAAGATTGTTGGAATATTAATAACGAATCCGAGATGTGGCGAAAAAGTCAAATCACAAAATCTGATAATGATTTCGAATATTATATTCAGATAAATCCGAGCCTCACGTGGGATGCGATTTCCTTGAAGGAATTTCGACCCTCCACTGATCGTATCTCAGGATAGAACGAATAATTTACGGAATAACATATTCTGCAAACCGAATTAAGAAACTTTTGGAATGACAGATTTTGCAAAAAATTTGGGAGCGTTTCTTAGAAGAGAAAAATTGTTTTCGTGTGGTTTTCAAAATGAAGGAGAGGAAACATATATATTACATATTTTCCAAGGTTTTGAAGATTATTTTTATTTAATTTTTTGTAAAAGGGAAGAAGTCAACATTGTACCCACTTTTGCACGTTGCAAGACAGTTGCAACCGTAATGTTTAATCTGATTATTTAAATTTTTCAAATCAAATAAATTAATCAAGTAAACACAAAAATTAAAACAATTGAACTTTAAGCAATTTGGGCTTGGCTAAAACCAAGCCATGCCCAATCCAAACCCAATTTCTTATTTATTCTTGATGTGGTGCAAAACAATATATGGAATTGTGATAATTATGTGTTTCCCATGTGGGATAATTCACCCTTCTCTCATTTCTTCCTCTTTCACCTATATTAACACATGTTCAAAATCTTAGTTTAATATGTTCCTCTTATGTTTTCAAAAGATGGATAATTCAGATTTTCTCTGCATTGTGTGTTTATCCCATCAATGTTGTACTAAATGAAAATTAGTATGAAATGTAGCATTTTTATAAACACAAATATTGAATTGAATAATAAACAATATAAAAAAAATACAAACGATATCATATCAATATTATTTTCTTTAATTATATTTTTATTTGATTATTTGTTTAATTGAAAATTTACACTTATGATATTAAAAGTGATCTATATTTCATATACATGCATATGTATATGAATCATATCATATTTTTCATTTTTGTATGTTTATTTTTAATATTTTTAACATATTTGTCATGATTTTTTTTTCGAGATTATGTAAAATAAAATTTATTGCTACAAACATGAAATGACAAGGGATGAATTAGAGTATAATAAAAACGGATACGCTATTTAGTGTTTAAGAAATTTTCTTTCGATATAAATATCATTTTATAGTTACTTGGAACGACTACTTTATAATAGACTACACCATTTTATGAAACTCCACACTTTTTTTTATATTGATTTCTTAATTTCATCGTTTCTTAGTTTCGGTGAAGCAATAATACTTTTATATAACCCATTTTATATACTTACACGTTCAAGAAGTAAATTATTTATAAATTTAAAGATTGTTTCAAGCATAGATCTGTGTGTTGTTTGGAGGATTTGTAGAAATTTTACCTATTCACCCAATTTCTTTCCCCCAAAAACATCAAATCAAACACTTATTTTTATTTTTTATATTATACTAAAAATCAATTTTAAATTCAAAACATCACATCAATACCTATTTATATCACATCATACAACTATTTAATTCAAATTTTTTACTATTCAAATCCCAACTCAAAATCCAAACCCCCAAACAAATATTGAAAAATTTTCTTTTGCGGGACTTGTAAACTCTTATTTTACGTTAAGTTTTTATAAATTATAATTTTTTTAAAAGTCATTTTTATTTACCAGTGATTTTTAAGTTCTGTATAACATATTTTAAATCTTTCAAGGTTAAAAAGTTGTTCGGACTGATATTTGAAATATATATATAGATGTTGTACCTTTTATTGTTTTTGCATACTGTAAATATTTTAGTATCGATTTCAACACCATATATATATCTAGCACTAGCTAATTCTCACATCAAATTTTGCAAAATCACAGATACACATGCAACTATATACATATAAATATATATTCTACTACTATTACTTCTTCTACTAATAACAACAACAAGAAGGAGAACGCAATAACTACAACAAGGACAAGACATTGATGATTAAATTTTGTTTTAGTTTTTGTTTGATTTATGAAAATTAAACAAGTTGTTAGTTATTACTTTTCTAAGGGAAATGAATGGTAGATTTAATCTTCTAAAAAATGAAACCAGGAACCCCACACTATCACAACCTTATCACTTATTACTAACTCCATGAGATCTTATGTCAAATAATTGGAAAATAGAATGTATCCAAAATTTATTAACGATATCTAATAAGATTTGGTTATTTACATGACAAATTTTGCATAAATAAAAAGTGGAAATAGGACATAAATTCAATTTCCCTACAAAAATAAATAAATAAATAAAAATATCAAGAAAAAATTTTGCATAAATAAAAAGTGGAATTAGGACATCAATTCACTTTTCCTAGAATAAAAACTAATCAAGGAACAAAATTTTGCATAAATAAAAAGTGAAATTAAGATATCAATACACTTTTCCTGGAAAATAAAATAATAAAGTAATCATGAAAGTTTAAACTAGTATAAATATTAGGACATCCATACATGAAATTATACACACAACTTTAGTAATGAACAAGTAGAAATAATATTTCCTTTTTTTTTTGTTTTCTTATTGTCTAAGCAATTACAAGCCTGTCTTCTTGTTCATTTTCGACACTATGAGCACTCCTCGAGATCAAGCTGAATCTTCATCCAGTCGAAAGCTTGGCCATCGCAAGATCCCTATGCAAAAGATAGAGAAGGACAGCAACCTTCTAGTCACTTTCTCAAAGCGCAAGTCTGGAGTTTTTAAGAAAGCAAGCGAGCTATCCACTTTGACGGGTGCAGAGGCTGGCGTCGTAGTGTTTTCTCCTGGTGAAAAACCCCATTCCTTCGGACATCCAAGTATCGATTCTGTTTCCAGCAAATTCCTTAACACAGAGAATATAAGTGGAGGTGATCAATGGAGAGAGGGTCGAGATTTGGCTTGGATTCGGCAATACGAGCTCAACCATTTGGCTCGACTGGAAGCAGAGATAACTGTAGAGAAAGCACGGGGCGAACAATTGCTGAAGATTAGGGAGAATATGATACCATCAGGTATGGAGGGGCTTCAGTTATGAGCAACTCAATTGGTTGAGAGGAGCTGTGACCACCTTTGCGAGTGACATGGAATCCTGGGTGAAGAATATGACTAGTGGAATGCCCGTTACCACTCGGGCGGCACCCAATGTTGGTATGGATCATCCGCATGGAGTAGGGTCAAGCTCAATGATGCCATATGATCAACGCTTCAGGCCGAGTGGAAATGGTGGCAACAACCATGACAATGGTGGGGGACTATGAAAATGGTTGGTAATTGTGTGAGACTGATGTTTGAAATAATTTGATGCATGATTGTTAGAAGTAAAAATGAATTAAATGTTATTTTACCTTTATTGTAAGAATAATATGTTTTTCGTGTTGTTTAATAATAATAAAAATGTGTATGCTTTTCGTGTTGTTTAATAATAATAAAAATGTGTATGTTTTTCGTGTTGTTTAATAATAATAAAAATGTGTGTTTATTTGTATATTTTGTTTCATATTGCCATTTACAATATATTTTTTTCAAAGTTATTATGTTTGCTTTTTATTTTTTGGTCAAGATATTCTGGGCTGGGTAAAATTTATGATTATTCTCGCAAATTTTATGGCCCACTCCATATGGGCCTATTGATAACACGATGGAAATGGGTTGGAAGAGTTGGGAATTGAGATCGAATGTACAGAAATTGGTAATTGAAAAAATAAATTATTGGATGAAAGTAAAGATTCGATAATGTATCTAATGAAATTCAAAAGAAAAAAGAAAATAAAGCAAAAATAAATTGCAGGGACGGAAACTGGATGAATCGTATTAGATCTATAACGGTCTGTATCTTTCTCCCCCTCCTTTTTGTTTTGCATGCCTCTATTCACTATGCATAATTTTAACCATTTGAACAATGATCCAAATTGCATGTTTCAATGATTTTAAATGGGTATGTATATTTTTGGACTGAATAGTTAGATTGAACTTCACCATCTTCATTTAGGGTTTTTGACATGTCGGGGTATATTTCGGCCTCTAAATTGATATTTTTGGGCGATAACAAATATCTATAATATTAAAATTTTCTATATATAAGAAAATCAGTATAGAATTATTTTAAAATTCAAAAAAAATTATTTGCTTCGTTAATTTATCGGTAACAACTGCATATACGATCAGATGTTTCTTTGAAAGAAAATAATCGTATGTGTTTGTGTCTTTTTGCAATTATTTTAATATTTACTCTCAAATATGGTCATAGATGTCATTTAGCGGCTCGAAATCGAATTTCAAGGGGCGGGGAGATCTTGACCTACGGTTACAATGTCCACGATGCAAGTGTAGGGCTGTTGAGGAAATCCATGTTTTCGCTCCAACAAAGAAAACACAAGAAAATTTATTTTGCAATTGCCATGTTGGAGCCTGTGATGTCTTGTGTTGGCTTGATCAGGTGAGCACTCGCATTGGGGAGTGGAGCAACGATGGGAATGAAGTGAACGACGACTTGAAGGTTTAATCCGCTGTGTTTGATGGGGAGCAACTCGAAGAAACAACGGTGGTCGCGGATGAACCGTCTCAATTGAAGGTGATTGGGGAAGAACTACACCGTGAATAAAAGCCTTGCGAGCTACATTGAGGTTAATCAAGCATGTCATGGTTGGTGTTATGGTGCTTAGCTTACCGAAAGCCTTGTTTTAAGTAGTTGGTTATGCGTTCAATGGTTCGTCTCCTGTCATCTTGTGTTACCATACCTTGCCTTGTCTGTATAATAATAGCAGTGGTGTAGTAGCAACAGTGCAACTGCCTATTTATTCCCGTAATGGTCTGTGCAATATATATTTTGAAAAACCAGGAACATAGGTGTTTTGATTTTTTTATTGTAGTTTTGGCGTAGGTATGACTCTTACTATGTGAGATACAAAAGGCATTCAAGTGCAATTATAACTAAATTGATGCTGTATATTTGCATAACAAACTATGACTTGTCTATTTGATAACAATATAATGTAATAATAAGAAAAGTATAACTGCTCCAGCTGGCATTCTTACAACCCGTTGATAATGCACAGTAAACTTTGAAATTGCATTATAGTAGCCAATCATTTTTACCATGCAAAGACAGCCGGCACTACATATCTACCAACACTCACATGCCAAGCCATCTGATCCCAAACAATATATCTTGCACATGTCAGAACTTTGTTATTTCGTAAATTGACAGCTCGTGAATTTCTATTACGACAGTAATGATTTGCACTTCATTGACACCCTACCAAAATATATCATGTACACATCACAATTTTACTAAAAATATTATTTACATGCCACAATTTCGCTAAAAATATCCTATACATATTTTATATTATCTAACATTGTGTCACGTATCATTCAATGGCGGTAGCGCATGGATTTGGCAGGCTGTGAAACTCACGCGTAGTCGATGTCCTGAAATAGAAAAATTGTAACACTTGTAGTATATATTTTGGTAGGGTGATAATTAAAGTATAAGTGTGATAATTAGTCATATATACCCGATAGTTTTTGCAATATATTTTTTCATAATAATTAAGTCCTTTAAATTGATAGTAGGATCTTAGAAATAGTAATCGTGTTTTGCCTACTTCCAATCCATGGTTATTTCCATAATCTACCTTAGGACACCGTATAATCTTTTCCAAGTGATGTTCATCTACGACAAGAATATGGTGCAATCTCTATAATAGTAGTAGAGTATATCAAAACAACTGAAGCTTGTAAATAGTTATTGTGGATGAAGAAATTTAGGAAGAAACTTGACTTCAACCAAAAGAGATACACAATACTTTGTAACAATCAAAGTGTTATCCATTTGGGTTATCATTTAATAAAAGATGTTATCAATTATAAATTCCTTGAAGATGAAAAGGTTCATGAGAATATATAATAATGATGCGTACATGTTGACAAAACCTTTTCCAAGGGAAAAGATTGATATTTGTAGATTGAATGGAAGGGTGGTGAATCTCCCTACACCATCAGTCGAGATTAGAGAGTTTATGTACATAGCCATCATTGTAGATCGATCGCAAGAATAACGAAACTCCCTACTCAATTGTTAATTTATTTTCTTCAATGTTACTAAGTACCAAGAAGATTTTCATAATATCCGTGAACAACATACTTTTGAAGTGTCTAACCTAATAACTAAAGGAGGTGTACAAAAAGAAGTGAGGAAAAAATTGGTGGTTGCCGTGCCTTAACATCATTCCTGCACAAAAGGTAATCTACAAACATTCGACAGCCGGATTAATCTCAAATTTCTATAGTAGTTTCCTAACAAATTTTTGTAAATGGTGATGATTGGAGTGTGTTGAGGGTTTAGGGTTTAGGATAATAGTTTATAAGCATTCATATAAATTGTTGTTGTTTTAATTTACAATGTGCTTCTACCGGATTTCTGCCTAAGATGTTTCTCAAATTATAGAATTTTTTTTTAAGTAACAAAGAATATAGCATATAATGCTATCTATGAAGCATTTAATCCTAAGTCCTAATTCTCCCTGTACTTCTTCAAAAGATCTTTCTCATGTGCCAAAATGTGATGGGGAAGGAAATCTACAAAATTGTGCATATGACCATTTAATGGTATTGGGAGAAAATATATATATATATATATTGAAGCATTTACTACAGACATTTTTATGCCTACCATGAAGACGATAGAAGATGTGTAGAGAATTAGGCTTGGGATGAGCATATGATAATGTTGAGGAATTTCATGTACGTGGTTCTTTAACAGAACATCCTCCCAACTATGTTGAAAACTTCGAGTATCATCGGAGAAGATTATCTTGAAGAAGAAGACTTTGCAGATTGCTCAAAGAAATTTATCCTACACAATACATTCAAATTAGTTACGACGTTGAGTGGCACTTCGAAAATTGGGAAAACTTAGTACCTTAAGAATATATTCTCCAAAATTTTCATTGCTTTCATCCTTGCATCTTAAACCAATAAAAATTGAGGGGCCTATGTTATACACACACACACAAAAAAAAAAAAAAAAAAAAAAAAAAAAAAAAAAAAAACATTAAAATCCAAAAGCAGCTGACCTTTAATTTTCATAAATTTTGGATATATTGTTCTGGATATCATGGGATAAAATCAAAATGGTAGACATCATGTTTGGTTCAGACAATTCGATGTTGTATCTAGTTTTTCACTTTCATCTCTTCCTTGACAAGGATATGCTATATCTTAAAAATAAAAAACAAAAATAAAAATAAAAAGGCTATGCTATATCCTTTTGTTTATGACATGGGATGATTATTTCTTGAACATTTTCTACCTTATATTTATCGGAAATTGCAAAATATATCTTCTATATATATACCTAATTATCACTTATGTTTTCTATTTATTTTGTTGTGAAAACACCGAATCTTCAAAAAGTAATCTACAGAGATCAAAATTTTTAGTAACCCTGTAGTGAAATTCTTTGTTCTTTGTTTTGTTTTACAATACGAATGACGACCTTCATTTTTCATTTTGTGTGCTTGAAGACTTATTCATACATGTTCCATGCTCGTTCAAATGGCTTCCTAAGACCAAGACTCAATATGACTATCCTCAGGTAAACTATAGTGATTTGGTTGCTCTTGCAACCAATTAGCATTACTAATTAATATGACAATTCAATTTCAATGTCCAAGTATAGTTATTCACAGCTAAATTATGGTAAGTTTATTGATCCTACGGTAAATGAGCATTATAATTTTAATTATGGCTATTCGCAACCGTATTATTGATCATTGGGCTACTCCTGCAGCCGACTTTCACCACTATGGCTCGTCGGAAGAGAAATGAAATTATGAGATTCGACCATTTAAACGGATCATTACTATGATTGTTACACTTACAGTGTTATCATAGATAGAATAGTAATTTTAATTTAACAAGTGCTTCTATTTCTCATACGCTATTCTTTAAGTGCTTATAAAAAATTAGTTTTAAACAAAAAAAATTAATTTTAAACCACAAAAAAATTACATATACTTTTGGACAAAAGTCAATACAAATAAGTATAAAGTACTATATTTTTTTGTTTAAGCAGAAGCCATTAGTTTATTTTTCAAACAAGTCAATAATATAATAAAATTAGTAGTGCTTTTGAGTGATCAAAACTATCTTAGAAGACTTACCAATAAAATAAATATATTTTTTTCCCTAAACCTTTTCAGAGTTTAGTTTTTAAATTTATTAAAATTATACTTTTTGTGTCTTAGTCTAAAGT